GGGAGAGTGAAGCTCAGTAATTGTCCCATGACCTGTACATTCTCTCAGGAGCAGATTCTAGTACTGGGGAATGATGTTCTCTGGCAATATGGGGTTTGGGATTTTCCCTAGTAAAGTTATTAACTGCCTGTGTTAAATTTCATCAAGAGCTACATCCATCCATCCAGAAATATAAGCCACTGATATCTGAAATGACACTTTTTAAACTGTCAGAAAAACTATGTGTGATAAAATTAGTATATTGCTTGCTATTTAAATCACTATTGAAACAGTAGAACATGTATGAGTCCAAGTTCATTTCCAGTTCAAATTGCTTTTTTTTTTTTGGTCATACGCTTTAAAGGACACCATGAACATGGGTATTTGGGGTGAAGATAGATCTTCATCTCTGGGGAATATCCAGGAATGCAATAGCTGGTTTTACAGTAATCACCTATTTAGTATTATAAGAAACTGCCAAACTGCATCTCAGAGTGTTCGAAATTTACATCCCCAGAAATGGATGAGTGAGCTAGTTTCTTAACATTGTCTCTAATAATAGTGTTGCCACTACTTATTATTTAGCTGTTTCTCATAAATATATAGTAATATCTCATTGTGGTTTACTTTGATTTTCCCTAATGGCTTATTATATTGAACATCTATTTTATGTAGTTATTTATCATCTGTATATCCTCTTTATTGCTGACTCTTGAGAGTTCTTCATGTCTTCTATATACTAGCCCTTCACTCCTTAACAGTTCAGGAGAAAGGTAGAAACCTTCCTCTCTTTAACGAATTTAATAGAACAGAAGGTGTAACTACTCTTGACTGTTTGCTCTTCTGGAGCAAACTTAAAGGACAATTGGGGGTCACTTTACAAACAGGACAATTGATACTGATGAGCATGAAGACTTTTGATTACTACTACACAATGGGGGCAGAAAATAGTATGTCTAAGGTCTAGAGCATATACTTGGCTAAATATTAGTACTTCCAAGAACACTAACAAATAACAATGAGAAACTTTAGTCACCATAACAAAAAAAGAACACAAGAACTCACACTCTGATTCAGACAAATGTCCCTCACCAGAGACTTTCCCTGGTGGTGCAATGGGTTAAAGCACCACATTATGAAGCTCTATGAAGCCACTGCCGCAAGAGTTTGATCCCTGGCCAGGGAGCTGACCCACATGGCATGGCAGACCTCTCCTGACCCGCTCACTGCTCCCCTCAGCAGTGTACTTTGTCAGCCAGCCTGTTCTGTTCCCCATTCTGTCTCTGGTGAATCCTCTCATCCACCACACCTCTGGCTTGTGTCCCAGTTCTATAAGCATAAATAAATAAAATTTTTTTAAAAAGAAAGCCTTTGATATTCTACCAGTCATCAACATAGAACTGCTAAAAGGATCACTAAAGTGATTGAGTAGTGGAGGGTAGTGAAAATAAAGTTTAATTACAGGATAAGTTACAGTCATGGGGAACTGTTAACCCGTACCACCATCTCCTTACTTATCTTTTTCCAGTCATATGGCCACCACCTTGAATAGAATTCTGCATTGTGGGACATAACTTTACCTATCTGGGAAAAAAGTGAGGGTTAATGCATTTTAACCAGTACAAAGAAAGACCTTGTGGTGTAGTTAGAAGCAGAATAAAATGGGAAGCTACACATTGATGTGAGTGTGACAGGAATTGATTGCATTCGATACAAACTTTGCACAACTCTGTAAGTTCCCTTGACTGTCTCCATTATGACTACCTCACCTGCTCCTGGATCATGTCACTCCCACTGACCACCTCATTCCCTTTAAAGGAGTGCCTGCCATTCAGTACAAGGAAACAAAATGTGTATATGATTTCCACCACTCTTCCTGCCCAAACTCCAGTTGAAGCCACTGAACTCACAGGGTCCTATGCAGACAGACATTTACTGAATCAAACTATCTTGAGTTTATCTCCATTTATAGATTGGGATGAAATACTGTTACAGGGCATAGGATCGGAATTCTTTAGTGGCTGCTCTGGGGCCAGATGAATTTACTGAAGTTGAGGGATACTAAAATATTTGAGTGAAATTTTAATGAAAACAAAAGAGAACTGGACAGAAAATTTCAATTTCCATTTTCCCTGAGTATTATTCTGAAGTACAACTTCCATACTATATTTCTTTTAAAATGTATACCACAAAGTAACATCCTGCCTTACCAGAAAAGGGAAAAATCAAGATTATTGTCTATCATTGAGATCATGAAACAAACTCATTAAAGAACTCCAAGAACTCTGGTTAATTCCCAGATATCCAGTTCTCCACCTGTCTCTAGTTATTTGTATGAGTCTAGTCTTCTCTCCCTCAAAATAAATGATTGATAGATATCCTGCCTATCTATAGGAGACTTTTTTAATTTTGTAGGATAAATAACTGTGGTTTGCCATGACTATAGAGAAACCCCAGCACATGTAGCTTTAAAAGCCAGACAATTCTCTGGCTCCTATATTGGAGATAGATATAGATATATCCATCATCAAGGATTCAGGCTACTTTTCTCTTGGTTTTCACTAAAGGCAAACATTGTTCCATATCAGGGTACAAGATGACAATGGAACTGCCAATGATTGTATCCACCAGTAGGGAGAGGGAAGAGGAAAAGGAAAAAGCAGAGGAAAAAAGTGAGGGTGAACACAATTTAACAACAACACAGGGAGGCATCATGGTGTAGATTAGAAGAATAAAACTGTAAACTACACATCAATGCGAATACGATAGGAATTGACTGATATAAACTGCACAACTCTGTAAGTTTCCTTGACTACTACCTTATGAATACCTCACCTGCTCCTTGATCACACAACTGGCACAAACTGCTTCCTGGAATAATACAACTGTTCCATTTAGGGGCAAAATCTGGAAGAAGGTGCACACACCTCTTGCATTTATATACTATTGATCAGAACTTAGTCACTTGGCCTCACCTGACTATAATTGAACTTGGGAAATGTATTCATTTTATTTGGAGCTCACACAACCACCTAACATTACATTTATACAAAAAAAAAGCAACATCTTGTATTAGGGGAAAATTTATCCTCTATGCTTCAGTGGGATATCTTGATGGTAGCTGGAAGCCCTACGAGCACGAAAAACTGATGAAAACAGGTAAACTCATGAGCACGCACTTGATTACTCTCTAAATGCACAAGGCTGGTGGATTACAAGCTAAGGGGATTTCTTCCACTACTGTTGGCCACTGGAGTGGCTCCAAAGGGAGTGACTGAGGGCAAAGTGGGTTTTTGCAACAATTCTCCTATAGGATCATCTTGCCCCATCTCTGCTCCAGGGAAATGTCCAAGGGATAGAAAGTAGGAAATGATCTCTGACACCTAGAATACCTATTACCTATAACAACATCCCGGGGAACATCAGTCCATATGTCAAATTAACCTGATATCTGAGAATACAGCCAGAATAAAAATACAGTTGATCCTTGAACAACATGGGTTTGAAGTTCACGTGGTTTTTCTTGGAAATAATGACAGATTCTTACAGTATCAGTAAGAACAATTCATTAGTGCAAATAAATTTTCTTTTCCTTACAATTTTCTAAGTGACATCTTATGTTCTCTCACTATTTATTGTAAGAATCCAGTCTATAATACAAAATATCTGCCAATCAAAGGCTGATGTTACCATCAAGGCTTTCAGTCAATAGTAGGCTATTAGTTAATGATGGGGGAGTCAAAAGCTGTGTGGATCCTGGACTATGCAAGGGCAGCGTGCCTAACCTTGATATGCCTAAATGAACAACCTAAATCACAAGAATCTATGTTTTATTGTAAAATAGACAGAATTTAATATAAGCCTGATTAATGGAGTCAAGAAGATTGAGACAATATTCAGAATATGAGGCATAAACTCAAGGTGGAAAATTAGTTATGATAATTGAAGTAAAAATTCAGTAGGTGAGGTCATAACAGGAGGGGAGAATGAGTTAGTGAGCAAGTAATCAAACAGTGTAACTCTCTGAAAGACAGCAAGCAGTCAAAAAATGAAACAGAAAATGGGGGCATGGATGGGAAGAGAGGTAGAGAAAACAAATAAAAGTGTAGAATCTACACAATAAGATTCCCAGGGGACACAGAAATGGAGAAAGGAAATTGTTTATGGAGAAATGGTGATTAATTTTCTTGATATGTAACAAGAAATTGTTAAGGAAACATGGATGTGACAATATAGAAATAACAATCACTATTTATTTATCTTATTTATCTTTGCTTAAGTCTTTGTTGAAACTGAAGACCACAATTTTCAACAAAATAAGCTTTGAGAGACACAAAAATGTTTACTTCAACTGTTTACAATTCAGTATTCACAATCAGCCATGACTGAAGCATCTAAGAAAGAAGGTGTATATATTAATTACCATAATATTTAACTTAAATTTACTCCACTTCTTGAAAGGGGAATACAATGTTACAAACGTTTCATAAACTACTTACTAAAAATAACATAGATCTTTCCTGTATTGTTGAGTTTTGAATTAATAGTTATAAATTTTAAACTCATAACCTTGAGCAATATGCTTGTGTAATAACTATTTTTATAGAAAAATATATTCCTGTTCACATAAAGTTGTAAACTCTTCCAACCATATAAGCCTTACTTGCTAATATTTTGATCATTAACTCTTTTCCAAGATAACTGATAGTTTGAAAAACTAGTGTAAAAGACTGCGGGATTTTTAGAATTAAGAACATTGCCAAAGATATTCCCCCTTGTGAAAGGTGATTTTACAAAAAATGAATAAATAAGTATATCATAACAGATAAACTTCAGAGATGATGCAAAAACTTGGTTTTTTTTTTCCCATATAATATTGAACTCATGGTGGGAATTCAGGTGTGGGAGGGTTGAGGCAAAGGGGGAGATGAGGGACTGAAAAATGAGACACTTGAGGTAGAAATTTCTCAGAATTCCTCATAAAGGGCCTAGAGGACAACTGCAATTGTCCTCTTCAGGAGTCAATGGCTTTTCAAGAAGGAGACTTGTCCCCTGAGAAGTCTCCCCAGGGCTCCCTTCATGTCCTTGTTCCGCAAGCTGTAAATGAACGGGTTTAGCAGGGGAGTCACCACTGTGTACACCACAGCAGCTGCTGTATCCTCTTCTACTGAGTTGAAGGAAGAGGACGAGGGGAACAGATAAGCCCGGATTACTGTCCCAAAGAACAGACCAACAACAACAAGATGGGACCCACAGGTAGAGAAGGCTTTGCGCCTCCCCTGGGCAGAGGGGACCCTGAGAATAGCTATAACAATGCGGGTGTATGATATGAGGACAAGTGTAAAGGGGATTAAAATGACTGCTGCACCGAAGAAGAAGAGTACGAGCTCATTGACCCGAGGGTCAGAGCAAGACACCTTCATGAGGGGCTCCAGGTCACAGAAGAAGTCAGGAATGATTTTATGGTAGCAGAAGGAAAGTCGGAACATGAGGAAAGTGTGGATCATGGCAACAAGATTTGTAAGGATCCAGCAGACAGTGATCAGGATGGTGCAGCGGCGGGGACTCATGATCATCCTGTAGTGGAGAGGGTGGCAGATGGCCACATAGCGGTCATAGGCCATTGTGGCCAAGATAAAGATGTCCATGTCCCCGAAAGTCAAGAAGAAGTAGAGCTGGGTCAGGCATCCTGCATATGAAATGGACCTGCTCTGGGCCTGGATGTTTGCAAGGGCCTTGGGCACAGTGGTGGTAACGAAAAGGATGTCTGCACAGGACAGGCTGGCAAGGAAGAAGTACATGGGAGTGTGGAGACGGGCGTCGGTGGCAATGGCCAGGATGATGAGCAGGTTGCCAGCCACCGTGACCAGGTACATCCACAGGAACACTAGGAAGAGGATGCGCTGCTGTTCTGGCCGATCTGAGAGTCCCCAGAGGAGGAACTCAAAGCTGCTGGTCTGGTTCCTCTCTTCCATGAGCCCAGATGTCAGAACACGGGTCCTTGATTGAGACCCAGTAAAGTTCTCTAAATAAATTTCACTCAGAATATTGATGACTATGCTTTTCTTGAACTCTAGAGAGAAAGAATGATCCAATGTAGATGTATTGATTAGTTCCTGTATGCACTGAATATTTTTATTGAAACAATGTGCTAAGATTATGGGAAATGGTAAGAGAATTCTAATAGACTCCTTGTTTCATTTCCTGACACAATTTTCTGCCCCAAATGACTGTGCCTGTAGTTTTCTTTTTTTCAGGAAAGTGTGAATCTTTCATTCATTCATTCCATAGACATATCAACTCTGACCTTGGTACAGAGGTAGTTAATTAAGATCATGGTAAACTAACAGTCAACATTTTAAAATACAATGGGATAGACATGACTGAATATACTAAAATAGGGTATCATTTGATTCAGGTGTTCTCAACCCATGCAGTTGCCTTCAAGAGTCAATATGCTAAATACAGTTTCATATTACCCAATCTGCCAGGATCCAATACAACAGTCAAGCATTTATTTTGTAAATATATATAAAGTAAGCTTTTATTTTTCTATAGTGACACTGGAGAAATCTTAAGTTTCAGTCTCTAAAATCTCAAGAACTGATATCACTCTCTCTCTCTCTCTTCTGATATAAACCAGACTCTGGTTGAAAAGGAAGATTTCCTGAGTCCCAAATATCATTCAGGATCTTGGCTGAATCAGTTGGGCAGCATACTGAGGCAATCTTGAACAAAAGTTGGCGTAATGGACAGAGTAACGGATAGGGAGCGGCACTCTGAACATGAGGTGGAGGAGGGACTATGGGCTGCGATAAAGCTGTAAGGGAACTGAGGGTCACATTCAGAAACTTTCAGGAGTGTCTGGAGCATTATTCTGTATACAATAAAGTGCCACCAATGTTGATTCCAATGTGATGTTGGTGCTTGAGCAGCACATAAACCGTGTTCCTTCCCCATGAGTAGAATCATGTTAGGGTTGGTCATTCAGATGGAGAAAAAGAAATCACCTTTGGCACTAAAATATAATAGGTTGGAGAATGTTCTAAGCTGTGTCACTGAGTTGGCTTTCTTTAGTTTTTGAATGAAATCTACTTACCTCTCCTAGGCTTTGTTGGACAACATGGACCTCTCTCACAGGGGTCAGCCCAGCCTTACTAAATATAAAACCTGGACAATCAAAGTGAAAGTGAGCTTCCTCTCTGTGATAAAAGGAAACGCTGAAGCCCAAAATAAAGCAGCCAGAGAAGTCACTCTGGGGAGGACTGAATAACCAGTGCAGAGGCCAGGACTGGTAGTTTGGAAAGACGTATCAGGGACTTGGAGTAAATGTTCTCCATAATGAACAAGACAGTCATAAGTGGGTGAGTTTTCTAACTATCTTTGACAGGAAAAAATCTACACATCTGTCCATACCAATATCATTAATACATAAAATTTCATGGGTTTTCCATAGAAAAAATGTCCTTGCACCAAACATTCACAGTATTATGCCTATAGAATTCTGGCAATATTTCTCTGTCACACTTGAATTAAACATTTTTGCACCTCTGTATTACCTACAGATTATCCCATATGTTTTGTTATCCTTATTGTGCCTGCAATAGTAACTTGCATCTTAGGAAAATCAGAAAGAAAGTAAGACTGACAATTTGGCTTTTCAATAGAAGAGACTTACTAGAAAAGCATCTGAGAAAAATTTCAGTACAGTGTGCTTTCAGAGTTTTAAAAATGTAATAAACAATTAAAAATTTTTGAAAGACTATTACAATGGAGAAACAAGAAACTGAGATTAGAAACATCTAGATAACTGGAAGATGTGAAATAGAAACTTAAAAGACTCTATAAGTATAATGAAGAAAAAATCATTTTTTTCCAAATGACATTGCATTGCAAGTATTTATATGAAACAAAACAGAGATTATAAGAAACACAAAGATAGAAAATAAAAAATGAAAATGAAGCTTTTAATATTAAAAGAGTTGCAGAGAAAGAAATGGGTATAGGAACTAGCAAAGAACTGCTCCTTTCAATAGGAGCAGAAGACAACTAAATTAAAATGAAAGTATTTAAGGTTTCATATTTAAATGAGCACCCAGGAAGTACAGGAGGACCCTCACCTAGCTATTGAAGAAGCAATACACCTGAGAAAATCATACAAAGCAGCCAATCACATAGTTGCGAGACACCCTATGGGTGTCCTCCTAAACATTAATGCACATATAATCACTGTGGTCACACAAGTGAAAGCAGTAGCATTCAGTGCTAAGCTTCAGGTGCCTGGGAGTCTGCATATCTGACAAGTTGTAGGTCATGCTGATATAACTTGACTTTGAGAGATAGATGATTAGGTCAATTGCTGTAATCAATCACTGTTGTGAGAAAAATAATTGACAGAGGTGAATAAGCTATTGATATGATAGTATACAACAGGACTGACATAATGGCATAAAAATATAGATTTATTGGGCCTCTTCGGTGGCACAGGGGCTAAAGGCTCAGCACCATCAAGCTATCTGCAGTCACTGTAGCCTGAGTTCAATCCCCAACTAGGGAGTTGACCCATATGGTGCAGCAGATCTCTCCTGTCTCTCCCGCTGTTCCCCTAAGCAGAGCATTTCAGTCAGTCTGCTTATTCCCATTCTGTCTCTAGTAAACCCTCTCACTCACCATTCCCCTGGCCTGCACACCACTTCTTGTATACATGAATAAATAAAAACAAATCTTTAAAAAAATTGTAGATTCTCAAAATCCACATAGGATGCAGTTATTGCTAACATGGAAACTCCAGAAAAAATCATGTTTTGTAAAACATACTTAAGTTAGTCCCAAGAATTCAGAATAATGAGAGAGAAATAAAAAAGAAAAAGAAATGATGTTGGAGAACCAAGATTTACTCAAGAAAGAAAAAATTAAAGGGCAAGTGAGTTTTAGTTGTACTAAAATGGAAGACTCCATATGGACACTGGTGGTGCTGCACTGACCCTGTTGTAGTGTCTGAGGGACAAAGGATGTCATATCCAGATATATCTGACTTTCAAATATTATTTACCAAACAATTATAAATAATAATAAATAAAACATATAACTAGTCTTACTCTACCAAATTCCAATTAATTCTTTATCTTATTTAACTTTACATTACATTGTGAAACACAATTCATAGCTCCACTTACAGTCAAAGACTTTGACATTCAAACAAATTAGTAAATTCAACTTACCTCATTCACAAGTTTTAAGTGGTAGAGCCACGCATCAAGCTCAACCTCTCAAAATGTAAAACCAGCCATGTCCAGATAATTCTTTCTCCTTTCTGAATAGGTTCACGCCTTTTCTCCCTCAAACAGCTCTGTCATGGGAAAGAAAAGATGCCACTTCTAGTACTAACAGAAAGAAGATCACTCATTCAACAAAGTTACCAAGTGATAAGTAGCATCAGGAGTGTAATCATCTCAGGAAATGGCTGCTACTTACATAAAGAAGACTGGGAAGCATAAATAAACAAGTACACAAGAATGAATAGAAGGTATTATCCATTTCAGTAAAATAAGATAGGATGAGAATAAAATTCACTGTAGCAACACCAACCCAAGGAAATAGGAATCAGTGCAAAACACACGATGTAAAAGAAGACCATAATATTTACTAAAGAAAATCAACAAAGACATGAAGAATGGAAAGACATAACACAACATGTCATAAATGCAGATCCTTCCCAGCTGAAATGTTAATGCAGTCCACTCACTTACTGAGAGTCAACTTTTACTCCTCAGCACCCTGACATCCCAATTACCATACTGCATGCTGTTATGGTTACTAATTCCACGAGTCTCCACCTACTAAGATTATCTTAGCTTGTGTTATATGGCTTGTTCTTTTCCTCCAGGACAGTGAGTTCGTTGTGTTACTTGATCACCACCATAATTTTCCTCATGCAGTGGTGGAGCCAGACCAGAAACTCAGTTTATACACGGAACCTGGTGCAATAGAGGGCCACACAGGAAGCCACAGAGGAAGGATATTTAGTTCAGCCTGTAGGTCAGGGAGGGCTTCCTGGAGGAAGATGCTCAGAGAGGGGGCAAAAGGAGGCATGGAGTCCTCAGGATACTATAATATGCGTACATTACAATATTTACTAAGCTATTTGAAACATGTTAAAAGTGACAGGCAGTCATCATGGAGGGACAGAGAGAAGGAAGTGGGTAAAAAATGCTTTGAGCCAGAAACAGCCTAGACCCAGTGACGGGACAGAGACACCAGGATATACAGATTTCTGAGTGCTCCGTCCGGTCACCTGGTTGGGCAAGGACCCAGCACACTGTGTGGGATACTGACTGGGCCAGGCCTGAGAATCCAGTCAGGGCATGATCATCAGCCTGACCGAGGAGCACGTCCTAAAAGTAGCTTCTGCTAGAGCTTCCTCATTGGGGACAGAATGACAGAGGGAGGACAGCGTGAAAGGAAGGGAACTTATTTTAGTGGGTCCTTCTAGGCACCTGACCTAAAGGGTCCATGAGACATTGTCCCATCTGGTGGCGCTAACTGTGGCTGCTGAGGCTCAAGGGGCTGAGTGAATCCAGCCCCAGGCCACACCCTGCTCTCAGCAGGAGCTGGACTGTTCTTTACTCTTGTGACTCCTAGTCCCGGGCACTGGTGTCCTGAGCTTCGTAGGAGAGAAAGGCGAAGTAGGGCTCACATTAGGGGTCAGTAGCTCCTTCAGAGACAATGATTGTCCATCTAGTTTCATTCTCTTCAGGTGTGGACCTTATGGATGCCATCCAGTGTCCCTCAAGTCCCCTCCATCAGTCCTGCCCACACAGCTGTCTCCCTGCGCCTTGTCCACCCATCAGCATCATCAACCTGGCACTATGCCTGCCTGTTAGCATCACCGTGATGTATCAGCCTGTGAGTACAGTGTCCTCTTAACCCCACAGCCTGGCCCTCATCTCTGTTATTCTCAGTTGCCATTCCTGCA